ATTTTTGGTGCAAAATACAAGTCCTTCTTTATATACAAATGAAAAGTGCAAGTCACACTTCAATAATAACAGCTCTAAAGTTTACTTGTTGTTCTTCTCTGTCTGTCAGCTATCAACAAAATCGTTTTATACTTCGGACAGTGCATAACTATTTGTGGACTAGAGTTCCAACGCACCTCTGTAATCGCATATAGTTACTTCTGTCTCTTGAACAAATGTTTCTCCATTGTAAGACGCACTCTACTTTGTTGTCACCACTACTTTAAGTTCAGTGGAAACGACTGATTGAAGGAATCGAGATGGCGGTGTTGGAACGTGTTGCTGAACGCTTGCTACGATCAAGCTTTGTAGATTTAGGTACTGGTACACTGGGATCATCTATGTATCTCTTATACTTCCTAATGTGATATCCTTCTTTTATAAATATGAGGGTAAAAGATGATTTGTAGTCGCATTCAAAACTGTGATTGGCTTGTGTTATTTCTCACCTTTGCCATGAACACAACTCAAGTGAGTTTCGAGTCTTTGTTTCCTCGACAACTTTTGGCCACAAATCGTGCATTTGTAGTACGATCGATTCTTGTCGATTATTTCTACACAGAGTGAGTTTACATCATTATTTATATCACCAAGGTATCCATCGTCTAGAAACAGAGAACCGGTCGGAGAAGTCAGAATAAAGTTGTGCTCTTGTCTTAACACTGCAATCGGCAAGCCAGCGGATTCACTTTGCTAGCCAATGACAAGTCCTAAAAGATCCACGTGATCATGCCCGTGATCGGAAACAAAGAAGACTCCATTTGGCGCTCATCTTTGAATGTACTTTTCATCGGTTGATCGCTTTGCTCGACTGTTTTGCTTAATATAACATTTCTAAAGATAGCTTTTATTGTGGTTCAATAGGAAAACGAGAACAACGTGAATGTTGTAAAAGAAAAGAAAGCTGTTGGCGCCGTAGAGTTAAAAAAAAGCGATAACAGTTGACATATTGACTGGTACGAACAAGGGTCGAGTGGCCATTTTGAAAGTTTGTGGTGAGTAAAACATTGCGATATTCGTTACGTGATCAAAATCTTATCAAAGAATGGATGTAACGGGTTTAATTAAGCTTACATAACGCTCGGTGCAACTGAAACTAGAATAATTCTGAGAATCGAATCGGTCACTTGCATGCCGCAGTTTCTTAAGCTTATTCTTTACAATGAAATCAATCTCTCAGTAAGGTTTCAAGATTCCTTTAGTCACGTTTGGGAACATTCAAGATTCATAATAGGAACTGTTATTAAACAAACCTTATTACATAAAGAAGCCCTCCTTGGTAAAAACAAAACAATGTATTCAGCCCTTTTTTAGTAAAATCTATGAGAGAGATGTACTAACTCCAATATAAAAGTGACCTAATATAACAGAGATTTCTTAATTTGAGAATCCAATGAATGCCCTTTTCCTTAGAGCCATCTTAAAGGCCTGGTCTGAGCTTTAAATATATATATTTACATATATTATTTTTTTTCAAATTCAGATATCATGGAATCCAGATACAAAATGGTCAAGCTTCTTGTAGACAACCTCATTCAAGGCCAACTCATTGTGAGCCCTGGGAAAAATACAAACAACAGCTAAGTTTGCAGTTTAGGACAACTTCATTCTAATTTATTGTTACAGTTACATCAAGAATTTAATTAAAAAAATCAATATTATTTATCTGTAATTAACCCCTTCACTCCCAAGAGTGCTTGGTTTTCAAATATAATTTAAGATACTGTATTTTATGGAAAAGAATTAACAGATTTTATTCGTGATTTGTGTCAAACCAAATTTAATGATTGATTAGGACTATTTTATATGAATAGCTGTAGTTGAGGATTAATCCATATGAAGTTTTCAAGAAAAGAAAAATAAATCAAATTCCATCCTAATATTACGACATGTTGATGTTAATAATTAATCAAAAATATTTTATATGTAAGCCTTAATTAAGCTTGTAAATAAATTTCATTGAATACTTGAATTTTAGCTGGGTTTTTTTTAATTTAAAGTATTTATTTTATATCATTAGCCTCAAATTTTTGCTTAAAATTCCCAGTAATTCATAAAAATTCCTGAAAATTCCCAGAAATTCCTAGGAATCTTTTAGATTTACAGCTTTTCAGTGAAAGTCATTGGTTCTCTGAGTTGGAATTCCAAGTCCTGTTGGCTATAAACTTGGAATTTCTGGGAATTTCTAGGAATCTCTAGGTTTTTAGAACCAAAGTTGTTATGGTTGGGAATTCCTAGGAATTCCCAGTCCGAATTTACCATGAAAATTCACACCTTTATTCCTAGGAAAATCCTAGGAATTCCAAGGAATTCCAAAATCCATTTTGCAATGGTAATTTAAGGTGGACTCTTTGGTAGCATAACATCTGGTTATATAACGGACAAGTTGGTGCTTAAGGTTGGACATTAGTTCTCACTAATTGATCTTTGTCCCACAGCCTTATTGATGTACTGCAAAATAAGGAAACTGTTTTTTCTGTTGGGCCTGGTCAAACACTTGAATTAAATTTTGGCACAGACTGTTGGTTGTTCATGTAACTGAGAAAAACAAAAACAAAAAGCATGTGATTTTGGTAAAAAACTTTTCAAGAACTTACTTGTAAGTCAGAGTTATTCTTCTTTTTATTGGAGAAGTTAATTTTCATCTGTCAAAAAAATTCATGGAACCAAATTATGTCCAAGGGCTGTGTGCGTCAATTGGTCTTCTGAAGTGTTCTGAAGGTGAAAATTTGAATAAAAAAAAAAAAAGAAAATAATGAATCATGTTTTGTATCATTATTTTCTAAGTTTAACTTTGATGTAGGCCTTCTGGCAATGCATGGAAAAACTAGAATCATATGGATCAGGGGTAATATGGTGTTCACTGCACCCACAGTTATTAACATTAGCACAATATGCTGAATTTCTAAAACATGTTGAAATAGGGTTCAAAAGTGAACTTTCTGTTAGAAGATGCAATCTGAAGATACTTTAGTCAATGTTTTTCCTCATCATGTCCAGTTCAATATGCTTTTCATTACAGGTTCAGCATGCAAGCTAATTTTATGTGTAAGACAATTTATGCAGCTTATTAAAACTAAGAGATATTTTAATTTATCATTTAATGTTAAGTTTTTCTAATCAGTTCACCACTTGATAATTATGTTATGTGTCTGTTTGTAACAGTATGGAACCTCCACACTCTCCAGTCCAAGAGTTCCTCCTTTGATTGGCTTTGCATTTTTACAGTTAGCCTGTGTGTATCTCTTACATACAGCAGTGACATCATCTACTTCACTGGTATGGATGCATTCCTTGGCCTGTTACAGGCATTCTTGCAGTACACAGAGCATGATAGCCACTCAGAAGGGAAATAGCTAGAGACTCAATCAGGGTGGGGTTATGGGTGCTTAAGGTTACTTTGCACCTTCATGGATGTCCTTTGGGAAAAAATTCATAAACATGCTAGTTTGGGATTATCATACCAAGGTGTGTACCTGTTTGTCCTTTCAAACACTTCTGTAAAATTGATTTAACTCGACTTTTATCAGTTAATGGAAATTCCCCAAGTTGACCAAAATAATGTTTTGCTCAGCTAAGTTAACCTTAAATGTTCCCTTTCAGTCAAATATGGCAAGTTATGTGTTCAAGAATATATTAAAATATATTTTTAAAAGGAGTATGAAAAATTGACTACTATTAGGAACTAAGTAATTGTAAGGTTAAAATTTTCACTCAAGCTATTTCATAAGTTGTATAAAATTATTTTACTAAGATATTTATCATAATAAACAATTATTCATTACAGTGGAGGTGAATACTGGTGGATACATACCACACCACAAAGTGGTAAGATAAATATCCACTTTCACCAACGCAGAGGTGAATAATTGTTTTAGACGAAGTATATACCACACATATACCAAAAATTAGTTTATTTCACTAGTATTACCAAAAAATGGTTGGAAATTTAACTCTTGATGTGCAATTTTGTCTCATTGGCTACTCAGAGGTGTGTAGTAATTGCTGTTAACTTCCAAATTAGCCAATTAGCAGTCGAGAAAACCACTTTTTACTTACAGTTATTGAATTTAATGTTTTACCATCCAAACAATGTATATTATAATAATGTGCTTGTGCAAATGCCAAATTAAAACTGTTACAACTTAATACAAAATTTCATTGATACATTGTAAGAACCTCTCTAAGATCTTAGGAATGACTTATTTGCTCACATCAAATGTAGCAAGCATTTCCCAAGTACTGTGAAAGCCTGAAAGTCACCTTTTCCTTTGTCCCCATAATTTAACTTAACTCTTCAACTCCCAAGATCTGATTATCAATTCTCCTTTATGGCTGCAACACATTTCATAGTAAATTAGCTGAGAGAATTTGGTGCTAGATCAAGGTACATCTAAATGTACCTGATAAGTTTGATTTTTCTCATTACCTGTTTATTGGATAATGAATGGATTTAATAGGGAGAAATTAGGTGTTCATCAGTTCTAGGAGTCAAAGGGTTAAGGTTACTCCAGAGCTGACTAAGAAAAAAAAAATAAAAAAATAAAAATCCAATGCTCGGTAGCACATTCCTCGTGTTGTTCTGGAAGAGTAAGTGTGTCTCTCAATTTTTGCTCTGACAAAGGGCTGGCTAGCACTTGAAACATCTTCTTTAGAAACTCTTTATGGTGGCCAATTTCCAACCTGGTATCAACAGGTACTGACAAAACTGGTGGGAAAGTGCTAGAAACTCATTATGGTGGCCAATTTACAACTTCACTTAAGCTGATAAAACCAAATTATCCTATAATACCCCTCAGCAATGTAGCACCACAATTTCTTTTAGAACTTCTTCCTGTCATTTATTTGTTTAAAACATAATTGGCAACCTTGCAAGTGTACACTTAATATGCGTCTCTCAATAGCATGTATGTTGAATGGTGCATCGATAGACAAAGCCAAAGGCATTGAATCCAAAAATTACATTCTTTAATAATGGTAACAAGATTAACATAGTGATAAATGCAAGAACTTGAACAACTTATTCACAGTTTATTACATTACAGATATTCATAAAATTTGGATAATCTGTTCCATCTTTATGGACCAGCACTGAGCTGTTGTTTTCTTAACACTTTCCACCATTCCAGCAGTCCTGTTCTGAACATCAATACAACAGCAGTTTGTCCCACTGACAGACTTCAATCATCTCATTCCCTTAGAAATATTTGGTGGTGTGCTTGAAAGAGTACCTTCAACTCTACAGATTAGCATTCTCCTCCCCAAAGGACACAAAAGAATTAAGCTGTAGATTCCACAGAACTTGTTTGCTTTCTTCTCTTCCCATAGCCTTTAATGTACAATTGTAGACACATTGGTACACAAAAAAAAGGGCTCTTTGAGTGATTCAGAATTCATCGATAAATTTTTATACATTCATCCATTTGTAAACACTTAATTTCTGCTCATCAATTGTAGCCAGATAGTCATTTCCATTGCCAGCAAAGGGAAGAACATCTAATATCTCTTTTCCTTGGTTGGGTAGTTTCTGCAGCTGGTTTCCATTGCTGCCATTCCATATCAAAGTCTAGGGAATAAAAAAACGAGTAAACATTTTGCACACTAAGTTGGTGTTCATCCACATAACCATACAAAAGGTAGACATTTTCTCAATGCTGGGTACATGTACCTGCTTGAGAATGTCTTTTGGATAGAATGTTTAATCTTATGGCTGAGAAGTATGCCGCTGTTAAGATCATGACATGTACATACTTCTGTTCTCTTAGCATAATGACACAAATTCTTACATATTTTAGAACATTTTTGCATGAAGATAATAGTAAATAATTTTGGTTACACATGTAGTTTTTTCAAGACTTTTCTTAGCATACATTTAGCCCTTTCACTTTCAGAAGTGGCCAAAAAATACTTAAATTACCAAGACAGCAAGCAGGTAATCAGAATTAAAAAAAAAACTATCAAGCTTCTGATATCAAACAATAAAGACCTTCCATTGTAAGAAGCTGTTGATACATGTGGGGAAAGAGGGTAATTCTTGAGATCTTAAATGTGAAAGGGTTAAATTTATCATCACTCTTGGCTACCCCTGATGTGTTCAAGCTTCAAGTGCAACACTGCAGATATCATTTACTGCACAGGAACATAATAAAACTGCTATACACCAAAGCTTGAGGAAAACTCACTGATGAGAGGCTCTCATCACCAGCTGCCACCATCAGAGTGTTGCAATCATCAGGACAAGTGAATAACCTGGATTTGCTGAGAAGCTTTTGTGTTGGGCCGCCAACACATTGATTGACAGCTTGACAGGTACAGAGGCTGGCATCTGAAAATAACATGATTGTAGAACACAAGAGTTTGTAATTATTGCCAAGCCAAATACATGTACAGGATCATTCAGCCTGCACTGCTGGTTAGTTGTACCAGCATATAGTACAAGAATACAAACAAAATTGAATGGCAGAGTATGAGAGCAATGGTGAGTAACATTCCTCTTTTCATATCTGTACTCTTTCAATCCATACCATCAACTCATCTGATTCCACACCAACAGCTGTAGCACTACTTAAAACCAAACCAAGTCAATTCTTTGTTTTTATCAGACACCCTTTCCTGAATGCCCTTAAACAATGATGTTTATTATCAATAACTACCAGTACCAGTAAGTATTCATGTTTTCCACACAGCCACAATGTACATACCATCCTCACCGTCCTCCATATTCCCTGCTCTTTCTGCTTGAGCTCGGGCCATTGATACACCCACACCTTTACCTTGCAATTGACAAACCTATGTGTGTTGTACCATACAGTGTATATAATATTAACAATAATTATTCGAATTGTGTACAGTTGTTAACTTAACCTAAATCACAAAATCCCCTTGTGACTTGCTAATGAGAATCTGGTTTCATGTCAAGACACATGCAACACCATCCCACTGTATGTCATTCCTTCCAGCTAGATTCATTGAAATTATAGGATAATTCATGATAGTCACTTCTAGGAGGCAAAGGCTTTCAGATCAAGCCTAGTACATTTACAGTTAACTGTATTTTTAATTAGTAAAACTGTTACATACATGTACAGCATGAATTAAATCATGTTATCCCTACATCTACGGATACATAAAACTATAATTTCCCTGCAAAAAAAATGTTGGGGTGGGGGTGAGGGTGGGGGTGTGTGTATTACAAGATAATTTGGTTTTAACAACTGAGATCTTATTGTAAATTAGCCACCTAAAGAGTTTCTTGCATTTTCCTCAACAGTTTTGAGACACTTCACCAACAAAGACTCTTATTTTATCTCACTGGCTAAACTTTTATCCAGCTCAGATTAAACATAATTACATCATAGTTTAACCTTGAGATTACGTAAAAAATTAACATGTGGTACACATTCATTTGAAAAATGAACTGCACAAGATAAGAAAATCCTACCAAATGTCTTGTTTGAGGGAATTTCTTGGAGGGGCGAAGAGAAAACAAACAATGACGAGTTGATGGCTCAAAGGATAAACTGGTGCAAGACCCTAAACAGTATGAGACAAAAAGGAATTTAACCCATGATAATGTGTTATGGTAGGGTACAAGTGTGTTATAAACTAAGTGCAAATAAGGTCTGGCTTGATGTGTTTGTTGTAAAGAGAACTCACACCATGTACATGTTAACCACCTACAGGAATTAAGGGTCAAAACCAAGCATCATTTTTAAAACAAGTTTTAACTGCCCACACATGTGAACACTGTACATAACACATATCCTTCACAAAGGTGATGGCATCTTCATCCTGGGATTGGTTTTGTTAGAATATGATCAATGCACAAAGTGATACAGTGTAACTGTGCTGATCGATAACCCCCCCCCCCCCCCCCCCCCCCCCCCACAAGAAAATTTCAGAAATTCACATTCAACTTTTTCCCTAAGTAAAGACGATTAAGCAAATAACACGACAGTTTTCCGTTTACAGATCTGTCATTTTCTCTAATACAGTCAAGTACCTTCAGGAAGAGTTAGGCAATGGGGACAAAATCAGCTCCAGGTGTTTTTTCCCAGAAAGAAGCTCCTTCAAGTTTGCAAACAAGAATTCCTTCAGGTCTGCAAAAAAAAAAAAAAAAAAATGGCAAAAGAGTATCCCCAAGTAAATTGAAGTGTCCATTCAACCCCTCTCTTTAAGTAATTATGCATTTCCCTTCTACATTAGTTATATGCATGGTTTGTAACTAATGCTCCAGAATTCTGTAAATTGGAAAAAATATCAATCATGCAAAAGTTTTGAAACAAATATGTGTATTTTGATACTTTCTCTCCTGCATGCATACATGTTTTTTTTTTCTTTTCATGTGGATGCAATTGCTCAGGGAATTTGTCTTTTATTTGGCATTCACCTAATACAGTGTTTGACGCCCATAACATTAAAACTGTGTGGAACAGCTACAAGTTATTCACTATTAATAATAAAGGAGGTAAGTTTCTAACTAAACTGTGGTGCTGCATCAGTGGGGGATTATAACAAGATAATTTTGGTTTTACCAACTGAGATAATCATGTGCATTGGCCACTGTAAAGAGTTTCAAAGCTGACATTCCTAGTAGTTTTGACTTTAAAGTTATTATTATGTCCAGCCTGCTCTCACTTGACTTGGATTAGTAGTTGTTTGTTCATTCTACTGTACATACAGGTCAAAAAAAACCTTTGTCACAAGGTAGTCTAACATTCACCAATTATTATTATTTTTTATCACCAGATGATACAAAAAGAAAGCTTCCAAAATGTTACAACCAATTACTATACAACATAAGGCAAAACACATTTTTCTCTCCTACAAGTGTTCCACTGACAATACAAGCACATCCTCACAATACGCACTTTAAGACAAGTGCCTATTTGCAAACAAATAAATTTAAGGCCTTGAGCAAGACTAGTCAGCCACACCCCTAGCACACCTTGCTCTATCTCTTCTCAAATCTTCCAACAGGCGGAGAAACACTTATTCTGCAGAGCCAACATTGAAGCCTGCTTGCAAACTCAACCACTCAACACCCCACTAAACAGCATTAATGAACAACTACTGCAGTAACAATAATCAATTCTTTGTTGCCTTGAGTCAATTTGATGCAATAAAATGCAGCTATCTCTTGAATTTCCTTTCACACTCACTCAAGAAAAGTACATGTACTTCTATCTACTTGAAAAAATTACACTGTTAATAGTTTTTAACCCTTCACTCCAAGATCTCATGGGTAATTCTCCTTACTGTCTGTCATACAGTTCCTATGGTGTTAGCTCTAGGAATTTGGTGTTGAATCAACTAATAATCCCCTAATTTACATTTGTTCTTATTCTCATTACCTGTGCACTTAATATTGTATGGCTATTGTGAGGAAAAATTCTGTCTTGGTCATCCATGTGAGTTAAAGGGTAAAGGAGAAACTACCAAATGTATTTTGACATGATCTCACCTCAGGGCACTGTGAGGGTCTGATGACACATGAGCCAAGGCAATGACAGGACAGGAACCCCCTGTTGTATTCTGAATACTCTTCAGGTAAGTTTCAGTGTTTCTTATGTCGAAAATAAGACATGTACCATTCTGTAGCCCGCAGTAGATGTAATTGGTGTCATCTTCATTCCAAGCACATGACCAAACAGGAACTGGTGTATTGTAACTATGATTCAAAACACAATAATTTGCTAACACTTAAACCAAAGAGAACTGTGGGTGAGGAAAAATGTTATACCAATGAAATGAAACTCAATACAATGCTGGCCTCAGACCATACATGATACATGTACCTGCAGTTGATTCAGGCCTTTTCCTCATTGACTAAAACACATTACTTTGTATATGATGAGTTGAATCATGCATACATTTATTGGTGCTTACTATTGATCTATTGGAGGACAGACACATAGATGACATCACCATTGACGACATTTTTCCCTTTTTATCAAATAAAACAAATAGATTCTTTATTTCCGTGGGTCTTTTCAAGTCATGGATAAACAACATCCGTGACACAATCAGCTGAGCCTCATGTGCCACTTTTTGTTTTTATCACATTTTGACATGATCTGTAATCTATTACATGACAGACACATGGCAGCATGGAACCTACATGTACTTGTTACATAAAAAATTGCACTAAGTACTAATTCTTTTTTCTCTTAATACTCTTTACTCCACTCACGTCTGTACAACAGCATTGCTCAGCATACTGGTGACCCTGACAGTCTTGTCCATGCTTGCTGTCAACAATAAACCATCACCTCTGTTGTTAAATGCCACATCACGGACGGCCTTCTGGTGAATGCGTACAAACTCACAATGCTTTGAATCTAAAGAGCTCACCTAAATTTGCACAAACATATTAAAGAAAAATGTATAAAACAAGTACATAAACATGTTCTGGAAAGGTGAGACGGTGAGACCGTTGGCTATAAGTCACCTTGGATTTAATGCATAGACTTTTCATTTCAAGTCTTACAGTTTCTACTGAATGTAAAAAGATTGCATAGCATAATTAATCAACTCAAGTGAAGTTTACAAATCATAAATCCAGGAGTAAAGAACAAGGTTTTAAAAATCACAGTAAAGACTAAGGAATTGAGGTTATTAAGAAAAGATATTTACTTTACCTTACCTTACCTGAGTTTACATACAAGGAGAAGATTTCAATTCAAACAAGCCTTTGAATTAGCAGGCCATACAGTAAAATATGAGATAGCATAAAATTAAATACTGTTAGTAATAATCCCAGAGTCTTTTACATACCTTTACCACACCAAATCCAGGAAAGAGTTGGTTTGGTGAAGGCTTGGACACAACTAGTACAGCATGGTGTTGATCAAAAGAAATCACTCTTGCTCCATTCTAGTGAAAACAAGTCAGAGGAAATGATAGTATTACTCTTACTACAGTAATAAGTCAAACATTGGCCAAATAATACAAATTCTTAGCTCTGATGGTGCAGCAGACAGAAAAGTAAAGTTACATCAATCTTTCAGGTTCTGGCCAAGAGATCCATCAAGATCACTGATGACTTCAAGTGCACCTCTGCTAATGTCATGTACTATATAACTTGCACTTATTGCAAAAAGTTATACATTGGTGAAACAGGAAGATGACTTGGTGACCAATTCCAAGAACACCCTTGCAATGTAAAGAGAAATGACAGGGACGTATCCAAACCAGTCGCTAGACACTTTGATCTCCCTAATCATTCTAAGCAGCATATGGCAGTTTGGGTCCTTTTCCTACATCTAAGCAGTTCAGAAAGCCACAAAACTCTAGAACTAAAATTTATCTTTCATATTTATTTAGCACTCTTAATCCCCATGGTATCAATGAGCACTTTTCACTTAACTAATTTATTCTTGTTTTTGTCACCATATTCCCACCAATAACGTCACTCCATTTTCTGCATATAAACCTATACACAACCCACAATTCCTCCAATCATTCTTATGAAGGGCTAACACGCAAAACGAGTCTATTACTGTATTCACATGTAGAAGTGGCACATACATTTAAATGTAATTCAAGCTGTACCTGTGAAACTTGAAAAGACGTTTGTAGAACATATGATTTCCTTGATAGTAACCTCTGACTAGAGGTGCTCTGCCCAAATGTTCTTACAGCTGTTGATGCCCCCTGAGATTCTGAGCTGCACTGAGAGCATGAGCTGGACCTGAAGATTTAATAAAAGACTGTACCTTTAACCTTCAAGAGTGACTAGCACTTAATTTCTCCTTACTATATCACCCCTGAATCACACATTTGAGGTCACAAGAGTAGAGGAAATGATCAACAACTAAACACTGGTTTTCAGTTACAACAGAGTCTGAGTCGAAATCAAAGGTGCAAAGCAATATGATCACGTGAAAACTTTGTTTTGATTCCAGTAAGTCAATTGCAAAATTGCAAATTGCAATAAAGTTCAGGACTTACAAACGAACCTTGTACCACACTAAACTAATTACCATTGTTGCCTGCAGTTTACTTTTCATTCTGACACCTGATTGGCTCATTCAAGAAACATTTTTGTCATTTCAATTTTCTTCAGTTTACACAAACTGAATAAAAAGCAGCACCAGGAGCAAAAACATGACCTGCTCTTCGAGTTCACGATTTGAACAAAAGTACAGTACCAACATGGACATAAAAGTTAACAGACTGAGAAAGGGAGCATTATTTTGCAAGAAGACTTACAGTGTAAAATTAGAGGAAGGTGACCACGGTTGATCTTAATGCACATGTACTCTAACAGAGTCCTAACAGCACTGCCACCAGATCACTAAATCAGAATAGAGGCTCTTCTTGGTACAAGGAGCACTCTTTTGAATTAGGTTGCTTATGCAATAGGGGCACTTATTTAAATAGGGGTGCTCAGACACAAAAACAGATTTGAGGGGAGGGCATTTATTAGAGAGGGAGTATTTATTGGAACAATGGCACTAGATCAATCCTCATCATCTAAGATTAGATTAATCCTAAGATTAGGATAGGATTCATGCATTATGCAAAAATCTACTGACAAGCCTAAAACTTTGAGATACACAGTCATGCACTATGCACTGATGTCTCCTTCCATCATTTACCTTTCCCTTTGTAAACTGACAACCAGCTGCTCTTGTCTTTTGAGTTGTTCCACAATTCTCTCACATTCAGCTTTTGCCAACTGGTATTGCAGCAATGCACGAGCCTCTCTCTCTTCTGCCTTCTGTCGAGCTTCCTTCTCCTTCTCCAGATCTGCCAGTGCCCTGTCACGTTCTGTTGTATCAATAGCCTTAATGGCTTTTGTGTAAATATTTCTTATGTCTCTTTTTCTTGCTGGTGCATTGCACTGTGGACATTTATCATTTCCTCCCTTGGCTTTTAACCATCTTTCGATGCAGCTTTCAGGAGAAAAAAAAACTATATATATATATATATATATGTATGTATGTATATGTAGGATAATTTTTAGTTTGTCATGTATAAATTCATTCACTAAATCATACAAATCTTAAAACCATTCACTTGGGATCAATCGGGATCCATTTTTACCACTTTATTGGGTTTGGTCCAGATCCATCAAAGGAGGAGACTCAGCTAGAGCTCAATGCCTCAACAGCAGATGGTTATTGAACTTTTCACTATATATACCTCCATGTGATCAAAACATTTACCTTCTTCCAAAGAGATGCCCACAAGTGAGAGATGATAGCCTGTGAGAACCTGAGTTTGACCATGGCTCAAAACAAATTGGACAACTTTGGGACTAAAAGACATGAGAGAAAAATTACCATTAAGTAGTACACATGATGTCACACACACTTGAGTCAGCCATCATGTCATAAAAAGACAGACCAGCTAAGGTAAAAGCTACTGTATTTAAAAATTGTTTAAAAATAGTTTACAGCCGGATGAAATTTTTTCAGAGAGTTCAGGTAAAACCATCTTTTCACCAAAATCTATAGCCATCAAAGATCGGCAGCGCAGACTAACATCCACCCTTCCTTGTCCTGAATTCAGATTTTCTAATCTAAGTTGTGAACATGGACATAGTCAGCTAACAACATTGATAAGGAGGGAGGGGGTCGTTTCCGCGAGATCACGAAATGTCAATGACTATCTTATTACGCAAAATGTCTGCCATAATTTTGCTGTTAGTCTAGGCTCAGACTGAGAAAAACTTACATCGTCATCTTTCTCGGGTGATTTAACCGGTAACCTAGTATTTTTCGCTGTCGCAGAAATGTTTTTAGTGGTTGTTTTCGATGACTTTTTTTGAAACTCGTCTGGGGAATTCACTTCTGACAGTCCAAGAACTTGTACATTTCTGGCGACCGCCGGCGTCACAATTTGAATCGACGACTGCACCTCTGATACATCTGGCATGTTATTTTCCTCGCTTGATTGCTGAACGCGTTCGTTTTCTTGTTCATTTTCGCCCGCGTCCACCTCCATCTCTTGTTCTTCGCGATCCGACTCGTCCTCCGACTCCACGACGTTCTCATTTTCACGATCATTTCGATCATATGTAACAATTTCTACAACTTCAAGGTCATCATTAGCGGGACCTGAAGCCATTGGACCTCTCAAAACCGTGTAAAACTTTTATCGTTACATAATTCCGATCAAATGTTCCAATTCATCGACATTCACGATACCCGCCATTTTCAAAATGACTGATCCGAGCAACTCCAAGATTGTTGTTGGGTCTGGGTCTAGCAAGGCCTAGTCCCCTTCCGTGAGGATGTAGCGCGCGGGACGAGTACGTTACTTTTTAAGTAACTTTCTCAGAATTAATATTACTATAAATTGAGAGATTTTGAATTTGAACCTCTTTCTTTCAATGGAGGATCGATCGATAAGATAGTGTCTTTTCCTTCTACTTAGTTGTAGGAAATTTGGAGCTTCCTTGTTAAGGTCTTCATGCAAAATCAGGCATAGAGGCATTCTGTCTCCTTTGCCGCCTTTCTTTAGATGGTCATTCAAGATCTGCGTGCCTATCTTAGCACTATCAACACCAAATATGATGAATTCGTCACTCGTTGTCTTATCTATAGGTCAGTTTATGACTTATGTCATGTTTACAGAATGCGACCAGACCTCTTTAAGGGGAACAAAGGTCTTTAAAGCCTGAAAATTATTTTCCTTTGAAAATTTTTTTTCCTTTAATGATTGAAAGTTGCAGTTTGCACGTAAAGATGATGTTATGATTTGTTTCCTTCCCGAGTGCAAAGAGACAATGCGGTTTGATGCTAGTTCGTCGCCATTGATTTTTTTTGTGCGGAGCTGCAGGAAGTAAACTTTTACATCCGTTCCATACTTCTCATGGCTCTTTCGCTTGATGCTTCAAAGGGCACACAAAACCGCTCCCACAAAACTGCAAGACAGATTGACGTAAAACGAAGGAACTGTCTGTAACAGCAATGACTGAAATATTACTATTCTTTTCAAACATCGCAATAAGTTAAAACGAACTATACGAAAATGAAGATGCCATTTTCCTCCGTCTCTTTCATTCAACTGTTAAATATTCGCAGTAAATCAGTATGTAATATTCAATTGAAATCCAGAGACATTTTTGTGGTCGTAAAGTATTCTTGTTCTCGTCTTGTATAATGAGTCTTTCGAAGGGATTTTAAAAACCAAACGAATTCTCCCAGTGATAAGTTTGTAAACGAAGTTTTCTTCAAATACTTTTTTTTCTGCGTGCGCACAGTTCTGGTGCATCCGGAACACCTCTTTTGCAATTAACTAGTTTCCAGGCCCTTTTCAATAAGAGCAGCACGTGCGATATACGAAGTGTCATAACGTCTCTTCGCCTTTAGACCTCTTAAACACTAGATGTTCACGGTCAAGAAAAGAGAAAGCCACTTTTCGGCAAAGCGCGAGTGAAAACATTTAGCTCCTTCGACTTCAAGAAACTACAAAAATCTGACTCAAGTTTATGATTTTTATTGCCGAGGTGTAGATCGTTTCGTCGCGTGTTTTAAACTTCACGATTCACGTCATTAAACGAGAAAATGTTTTGTCTTGATTCTGTGCCACAGCTATGAACTCTTTCTTAGAAAATTTCATCTTCTAGCCTAGGTGAGTACTTAAAATATAACTCTTCCGATATCAATGTATTATTGAGAGAATTGTTGAGAAGACGCAATTATATGACCGAGAGGGTGCCATCTCGATAAAGAAACCTATTCCTTTGGTAAGTAGCGAGGCCCCACACCGAGAAAGAACAAAATGACGGACAGTCAAGGATCTTTCGACAGGTAAATTTTATTCGCCTTTGTTGGAAAAGTGAACCAAATCTGTTTATCTAACTTTTCTATGTTGGATTATTTTGATGTTTCTTACTCTCCTACCTGCGCGAAAAATCCTTTTCCCTTTCGCCAGCCTCTCTAACGTAAGACATTCACTGTTTAAGACGTGACAAGCGTAACCTGGTAAACCGTGAATTTCCTCTTTCAGAGACGAACTCTGTCTCTTTTTAAGGCTTTGTCGTCGACAAACTTATTGTGAACAATAAATAATTTTGGTATCAAAGTTCATCGACGGCGTTCAACGTTGCCTCTCTCGCTCTGCAAAAAAGAGCGATGTGTCTAATCGAATTTTCATAACCAAACAAAAAAGTGAACAAATCACGAGAAAAATTTGAAAAATGCGACTAAACCGTTTGAGTTTGAAACTAAAACGTTTCATTTAAGGCGAAGTGTTTCTTACAATGGTAAGCACGAGGCTATCCCAATTAGATTGCCGTCTCGTGGCCTCTGTGTTTTGGGCGCCTTTGTGATCGCTGATTTCTTAAATGTTTCGCTCCACCCTTGAACAAATTCTTGTCCGTACATCCTTGTTCAAAAAGACATTTTTCCTTTGAAATTAAGATAAATAGATTATTTAATTTAAAAATGTTAAACTATGGTCTCTCTGTTTGGGTCCAGTAAGTGGATCCACACATCATTAGCACAGTCACTATAATTTCCCAGAATGCATTCCTTTTGATTTTCTAACTTTGGCATTGAGAAGTACTTTTCAAGGATAAAACCAAGTCCTGAGTCAGTGGATTGTCTTTTGCAAATATCACTTTCCAAGACATTTTCTACCAATGGTACTGTCAAGTCTTTCTTTTCGTAATCTTCCAGTCCCCTTTCGGATTCAGAATAAAACGACCCAGAGTCTAGAGTCCATGATCTTGTCGCCTCACTTGAAGTAGATGATTGGATACGTTGCCGAAAACCATATGCACGCGAGCGCAACTCTTCTTCCACTTCCGGTGGAAGTAGGAAAGGAACCAGAAATAACAGGCATACTCCAAGTGTCGTGAAAGCGCCGGCCATGTAAAATGCAGGCTCGTAACTTTTGGAAATTGCATACATCCAACCTGTTGACAAAAATATATCAATTTGCTCAACGCGGAAATTTTTTGGGTGAAATTTGTGACAGTTAAAAATCTATTTTCTGAGCGTTTCCTTATCGTTCGAACACTGAGGGAAAACAAAAGATTCTTGGAAGTTTCTGGTTCTTAACGGGCGCATAGGGAAACAAAAGCAAAGAAAAGAGAGAAGGTTGATCCAATACCAAGTTCTCAGAACTAACATCATAGGAATTGTATGGCAGACAGTGAGGAGAATTAATAAGGAGATATTGGGGGCGAAAGGGTTTGTGGCTGTAGATTGTACAAGGTGCCATGAAAAGTACTCACTCGCTACTGGAGGCCCAAGCATCATTGGAATGCCAGTGAAGAAAAACATGACACCGTAAGCTGTCCCCATCATCTTTCGCCCAACTATGTCCCCCGTGAGGACGGCAATAAGGACGACAAAACAACCATCGTGAAAGCCAAACACGAGACAGTATGCTAATAAAGATCTATAGGTGGTGAAAACAGGGAGGAGAGTGGTGAGAATACTGCACACAAGTAGACACAGCTGGTAGAGGTACACACGATTCACACGAGGATGGTCTGCAATTCGACCGAACACGATCTTTCCGAGTGTTTGGGACATCGCCATGTAGCCAACCAAGACAGCACTGTCTTGTTTTCGAATTCCAAGGTCTTGCCCATGCCGGACCTGCGAGAGATTAAAAAGCGTATCAAGAATGGCTTGTTCTAGATGGAGATAAATCCTCTCCTAACCCCTGGAATTGGCGTCGCAATGGTGTTACAAATTGTGTAAGTGCGTATCACTTTGCGTTAAAGAACATCGTAATTAAGTTGGAGTGGTAACATAATGGTTCCCTCCAATAAAAATATCGCTATATTGCAGCCAATCAGGTGATCCAGTTTTCTAACCACCTTTAGCCATTTTCCCCCGCTTCCAGCTGCTTGTTTCCCGCCCTTTCCCATGGCCAACCCCTTTGCTTTATGGAATGCAAATTACAAATCAAAATTTGAAAGAAAACTCCAGAGGGAGGGATATAACGTTAATTTTGCTGGAGCAATCAGCGAGGAAAAATGCATCGAAATAAACTCAGGGGAATGAGCTCCGAGGAGTAAGGAATGATATGTTTCGACCAGTTTTCAACAGAGTGAACAATTAAGTTTCACTTACCAAGTGTACGTATGGTATATAGAACCCGAACAACACCAATCCAACAACGACTGTCCACACGATGTAAGCTTTGTTCTTGAAGAAGGATAAGTCGATTCGTTTCGTTTCCTCTTCCGTATCATACTTCTCGGCATCGCTAAATTCCAACGGCGCGGGCACAAGATAGAAAATTAAACCGCTGATCAGGATGAGCAAGGAGGTTGCACTGAGAATGCGAAGTGCATCGCGCCAATAAAAATTATCCAGCAGCAGGCTGAGTGCGGGCGCAAGTGTAATTGTTCCAACACCAGCTCCAGCCAGGCCAATGCCATTAGCAACAACCAGATTCTTGGAGAAGTAGCCACTGAGAACGAGAACCGAGGACACGTAACACATGCTAGAACCCATGCCGAACAGGAACGAGTACGTGACGTACATTCGGAAGATGTTGTCGACGAAGGAAGATAGTAGAAGACCAATCCCGACCAATATTCCACCAAGTACGGTGACCGCTTTGCAACCAAACCGTTTACACAAAAAGCAGCTCAGAGGTGACAAGACGAAAGTGAGGCCAAATGAGATCGAGGCTATCCACGCTGTATAGAAATAACAAGTAAATATTGAGCTAAGTTTTACTGAAACCCAAGAATTAAAAAATTGCTCACTTTGCACTCCCTGGGGTCTGGGTTTGAAGCCAAAGGAACCCTAAGAGGAGCTGAGAATTTATTTTCAAAATAGGGAGGAAGAAATTATAGAAATCGCATCTTCTCTCAGAAAAATCCATTTATTCAATCCTAAACGTAGTCAGTGGAAGCATGGTCTCTTTTGCAGCCGTTCTTTGGGAAGTTAAAAAACCTTTCCCTGACATCCTGACTGCTAAAGAATCTAGTGAAGGCCAAAATTCTGTTTGAAACTCGTGAAGGAAGGTTAGGAATGGCCTTTTTACCTGTAGTCGCCTTACTTTCTCCAAACTCAGTCAACAGATCAAGGTACAACAGGCCAAATACATTGTGGATTCCCATAACAACAAACTGTGTCATAAACGATCCAAGAACAGCAAACCAGCTTAGGCCACCGTCAAGCGTGCCAGGCACTCGTAAACTTCCTTTGAGCAACATTTCTATACAAGCCTGGTGATTGAAAAAAGCAACATGACAAGTCAGTGGACATGGAGAAAAAAACCGTCATTGAAAACGAGCGTAGATTAAAAAGTTCAATGCTTTCAGTTTAACAAAAAAATTTTCGCAAAAACACAAGTGGTATAAAATGAATGTTATACCTTTAGATGTACAGCTCTTTGCATCCAGATTTGCTGAGCAATACTCTCAGTTTCATGGATATGACCAAGATGAGGCCAGAATTTTGTTTCATCGCACAAGAGCTATGATTCATTCTAAGAAGAATAAATGTTTTCGTAATGGAGATGTGTCAGTCAATTTTTTTTTCTCCTTATTTTGTTTTTCATATTGCGTTAATAGAGGCTGGCATCGTACATTGCAACAATGTACATGTTGAAGTCTATAGCAATTCTTGTTTTATCATAAAGTGTTCTGTGCTTGTTTGTTGGGTGGTAAGTAAAATGTACGGTTGGCTATTTGGTTGGTAGATTGATATCAACTGTATTTGTGGTAGCATGGTTTGCTTGGTCGTTAAACTGGCATGTCCACCTCTTGGTTGCGTTGTTACCTGTCAGTCCATCTGTCCGTCAGTTAACTGGTCAGTTGGTCGATCAGCCAGTTGGTTATTTGGTTCAGTGTTAATTGCCCACTGCTTGGTCAGTTAGCCGTTCGGTTGGTTAACCAGTTGGTTGGTTGGTTTTCGGGTCTTTGTCGGTAAAATGGTCAGTTGTTTGACAATTTGGCCCTATCTGTCAGTTCATTGGTCGGTTTCTCTGTTGCTTGAATGCGCATACGGTTTTTTTGTTGAATTATATAGTTTACCTTAGTCAGCGGTTGATTTCCCGGTTTGTCGGTTGGTTTTTCGGAATGTTAGTTGTTCGTGTTTTTTTTTGGCAAATATTTACTTTTTCAGCAAAGATCTGAATTTATTTGTGGATGTTAAAACACCAAAAATTACTTACCTTTTGCAAAAGATGGCCTTAACCTCCCGTTCCTTACCAAACGATGCCTAGTTCTCAGATCTCCTCCACTCTGGGAACCAAACTAAAGGAAGAGAAACAACAATGAAAATTGTAAGGTTTTCCTCGTCTTCGTGGAAGGGAGGTAGCCTAATACTGAGCCTGCCAGCAGACCCATTGTGAACCCACTCGCAGACCTCTTTAATTGCACGCTCACGTTGCTTGCCGATTCCATACTCTTAGGCCTTCAGGCTGTTGTCGCGGCGCCAATGAACGCTTGGATTGCGCTCTAAGTGGGACGAATGTGTCATCTTGTTAGACAAGAGACTCTCAAATGGTTCCTGTCCACCTAGGGGTATACTTGGGTTCCACAAACATTCTCAGGGAACTTTGACGAAATGAGGATGTTTAGGCAAACATCAAAAGACTAATATTACTTACAGGGGGAGTAGCAATACACCTCAGTCGCTTCCTCTATTGCATTTGAAATCGCGTTAGGCTCTGACAGCTTTGCGTGTCAGCCTCTCATGCAAACTTTTTTCCCTCAGAGTATTTTATCAATAGCCGATCCATCTCTAGGGATATAACTCATCTCTGGGATAAGGGAACACCTAATCCTCCTGTGTAATTATGTGTTTACCAAAACGTGGATGAAAGTCAACACTTTTTTCTCATAGGACACTTCCAAAAATTTGTTCGGTAAGAAAGTAAAACCGAGAAGAGGCAATAATACATCATGAAGGGACAACGATTGCAAAGGGTGGCCAACAGTGGCCAACAATGGCCAAGGGACAGTCAAGTTCTTCAAAATGCATTGAATTAGGGGCTTAAACATGTTATGCTTGGGACAAGAAGAACGAGCTCTAAAGCTGACTTTCTTTGATCTCAGATCTCAGCACGTGTCCTTGCATGGATTAGGACAAATATGGCGTGAACTGACCAAGAATTCCAAGGTGGTCTAAAGGCCAGAAGGGTCAACCTTAGACTGATATCACATAACAAAAAGTATTGATAGCTAGTATTCAGTCCATCTTTTTACACTTTCAACGTTCTCATATTTTGTTTAAACAGTCGGTACCTTTGAAAGTTTCAATTCGATGTCATCTCCCCTCTGTGTGTGATATGAATATGTGGACATGTGGTTTTCGTGAGCCTTATTCTCACCTCTTTAATATTTGTGATCTAATAATCTATGTGGATCAGGATTGACATATCTTCTTACTCAGTGATAAAATCACGATAGATCAGTAAATAAACCTGTAATACAGGCTCGACATTACTACAGTTTGTACTCAGGAAAGATGTGGCAGAGAAGTAAATGAGAACCTTCTAGCTTCCAGAAAAGGTAGTTTTCACTGATTCATGCAAAACGCATGCCGCTCGAGTGATCAATTTCCGATAACGATAACGATCGACAGCTACACTATGCATAAAGAGTCAGATTCCTATCTGATGTTTTGACGAAAACTCACTAAGCTAACAGCGTTCTAATCTTGCGGGAACGTCCTTGACTCTAAATATGTTCGCCACGTAGGTATTTTCCACAGATTATAGTCTTTGAAGCAACCTAGCAGATTCATGTCTCTACTAAAAAAAATACAATTTTTAGGAAAACGTTCTGTTTCAGATTTCTCCGACAGTTGATGAATCTGTCCATTCTATGCCCTTGTGGTTTGAACTTTACCAACGGGATCTCCATTAGCTGTCCAGCTCCACAAACAAATCTTTTCCTGCTGTAAATAAAACTGTAAATAATAACAAAGAGGCGCACGGAACTTCAATAATCGAAGTATGCTCTGCTTAAACGTTCCTAAGCTAATGCGAACATCTCCAAGACGTTCAAATCTGAGAGCTTTTTTCAAATGATATTCTATGTCGCACTATCTCTAAGTGCGGTTTACATCCAAGGTGAAGCAAATGTCAGTATAAAATCAGATTTAGGAGAAGGTTAAAAATCGGGAACCTAGTTTGAAGGCTGCTACAAGCAGACAAGAGAAAAATGTTACATATATCTTGGAAGTGAAGCTCTAAACCCATTTCACCCTTCTTGCCAAAGGAGGCCATGACCTCATATCATATCACCATTTCACCAGATGGAACAAGAAGAGTTAAAATGTTCCAACAGATTTTCTTTGTAGATAAGGCCAATTTAAGATATTTAATGTTTAAAACAGACATAAACAACGGCCACTAGCCTAAGGCAATAGGTAATTTGTGGAGGGTAAGCGTTTCGTGTACGAAAAAACTTATAAAGAGGTATTGGGTTGGAATAATCTTTAGAAAACATCCTTGTATAGGACGACGTTTGAAAACCTTTGCACCTTTACTTCTAATACAATGAATTTTCTACACTCTGGGTATTATTACACGAACGTCAAATTGTGAATCGGCGAACCTGAAGGTTTTTTTTGGAAACAAGCACAAGCGAGCTAAGCACACGAAACATCTCCCAACCTGTCATCGCATGAAAGCCTCAGGCATTCGATTACCTTACGAACTTCGGTAATAGAAATAATCCATTAAAAGGGCCAAGGTTACAAATTAGAGGTGATACTCACTAACATTTCTCCATGCTGTGATCAGGTGGACTCAACTTTAGTCCCACGGCATCGAAACAACTTTGAGAAACACAACATCGTTTTGAGATCCCCGCGTGCCTGTCATTAGGAAATTGCGTTTTTAAAAAGCCTAGATCCTTTCGATTCAATTTCTTGCGGCACTTTATTCTCCAATTATCGAGTGTCAGGCACAATCAGGTCTATTTTAGTGACAAACTATAAACTTCAATTTTGTTGCTCCTTTTTCCGGATTATACACGCTTATTCTTGACATGCATTATGTGGCATTGACAACATCGCAAAATAGGATAAAAAATTGACCGCGACCTTCTTGCGTTGAATCGGCTTTCGTTTTAAACCCACGAACTAAAACGCGCTGCTAGTCACGTCCTTGGGTCACTCGCGAGCCCACAAACTGAAAGTCTACAGACCAACTTCCCCAGGTGACACTTAGGTGAAAAGAGGCACTATAAAGTATAAAATACAACGTTACGCTGAGGATACCGGTGCCGACACGTGCTAGATACTGAAGACCATGGTTTATACAGCCCTGAGGGACCTTTATCCGGTTTTTACTGCCCCCGCGTTTTAAGCGATTTTACGCTACGCCCACGGTTTTTGCGGTAATAAAAGCAACTCCATATTATATTTAACTTTCCCTGTGATGCCCATAGTCGCAAAACCTATGCTGTGTTACAAAGGCGTGACTATCTCTTTCGTTACCATTACTAAACGTCACATAGTCACCTAGTCGCATTTAGCGTCCCATTGCTAGATTTTCTTTTCAACATTTGGCTTCGTTTAAACTAAAACCTCTGGACGCTAGAGACCAAGTGCCGGAAATGACGCATTATTTGTGTAACGTATGACTTTTCCGGTTTTGTTCAGAATATTTCAGCGTTAACCCACAGGGGTCCCAAACACAACATTTACCCAATCCCAACCCCCCACACTCCTCCGATTCCCTAAATTAAACTTCACCCTTTTCAATTTTTTTTTCTTTTTGTGCACCCAAAACTGCGATCTTATCTTTCACGCTTGATATTTTCTTCGCAGTCTTGCCAAGCAAACATCAACAGCTTTTCCGCGAAGAAAACAAAAAAACTAAAGAATTTCATTTCGTGTAAAATCCACTATTACCAGACCAGATACATATTCAAGGTTTGCAATTCGATGCCTGAAAAGAGTTTTGTTGTGAAACGTCACAATTTTGTACAATCTTTGTACATCAGCCTGATCTGACAAGTAACATCACGGCAGACAACCAATTTTTCAAAGATCAATTTTTTTTTTACGCTTAGCCATTTGGCAAATTGAGGGGGAAACATTCGCTTGTCAGACTGTGTAAGCACAGATTTATTTTGGGGGGCGTTTCAGAATTCTAGACACCCCATGCTTCTCGGAAAATTTCCTTCCATATTTAAATCGACAGTAGATGCTGACCTTATCAGATAACTAGTCGAACAATTTTTGGTTGAAGTTGTGTCAATGTAATTATTTAACATGCCCCTTGCTGATCATGCAATCTTAGCTGTAGTTGCATCATAAAACTAAACAAATTATTTTTGATAACAATGCTGATAAGAAAAGAAACTAAAAACTTCCTCTATAGAGAAAATACCCCAAGCGACGTATTTCGTTTCATTTGTTAGCGGTGAAGCATTTTGGAGTGTATTTTTCATTAAGAAAATAATCGGGTTTCCTGCATATTTCTGGACAATTTCAATCGACACAAAATTTCGATCCCTTCCATTGTAGTACGAGTGATAAAAAAAGATCAGAATAGTTTCCGTGAGACTTTATGTTTTTCAAACTTTAGCTTAAAAGAAGCCGACCGTATAAGAACAGTTTTGACCGTCCGCGTTCTCGCGGCGGGAATTTATGATGCGCAGATTACGAAAGAAAGAAAAGAAATTATCGGGGTTTTACCCTGCGGGATGCAGAGAGGGGTTTGCCCGGACGAATTACGACTTATAATTAAATTAGCATTATTCCGTTAACAAGAAAAGGTATTATAACTCTAGATAAAACAACGTCAAGTCCAGAACTTGAAGAAAAAATCTTTTCATTTACGCGTGACTTA